TGAAGGGAGTGTAAAATCGGGTTTTTGGACATGGAGGGGCCTATACGTAATTTTTTTTTAAAAAATGAGGGGCTACAACACATTAAGGAAAGTAAGGGGTTTGGGGCACAATAGAAGTTGGGTTTTGGGGCCTTGAAGCAATTTTCCCTAGTAACTATGTGTCTCTAAAGATACTATTATGATAATTTAACCTATTTATGTGGATAATTTTAACTAAACTATAATTTTTTTATACTTCTTTGCTTCTTTTCTTTAATGGAACCCACCATTCCTTTGAGTGCAGTGAGATCTTAGGGTGTGTTTGGCAAAGTGAACAAAACTGAGCGAGGACCAATCCTGACCTAGTTTTATACTGAACAAGTTTTCTTTTGAACCAGACCCCACATGTCCAAAAGAAAACTGGTTTAGTGATAATATTTACACTAAAACAATTGGGTCAATTCTGACCTGAAAATTTAACAAACAAGAAACAAATAAAAATTGGGTCAAGTTCAGTCCTCCTAGCCCAATTTTAACTTGTTGTCAAACACACTCTAAGGTTAGAATTGTAACATAGCTAGCATTATCCACTTAAATAATGTTAGGGACACACTCTCAACCACAATGCCAACCACACTCTCAAACTCTTTATAGTGCTAATGGGCCATGCACGATATTTTTTTTTAAAATATCATGCATGGCCCACTAGCACTATAAAGAACGTGGGGATATGGTTGGAAGTGTGGTTGAGGGTAGGGCTGAGCATGGTTCAGTTCAAACCGAAAAACCGACCGAACCGACCCGAAATAAACGGTTTTATGATTAGGGCGGTTCAGGTTGGGTTAAAAACCTCTCAACCCGACCCGAGCCGAACCGACCTATTTATATATACCGCGATTCTGATTCTCAAAACCCTACCTGTTTATTCGTTTACCCGACCCATCCCCAACCCCTCAAAACTCAACCCTAGGTCCCGACTCCCTAACCTCATTTCCTCTCCCATCCCAGCCGTGAGCCGCCGCCCGCCGCTCCTCATTTCCTCTCTCTCGCTCTGTCGGCCTCTCTCACTCTCTCCCACGTCTTCATGGATCTATCTCCGGCACCCGCACCCGTCGCCGTCGCCGAGGCCGAGGTATAAGATCTCACTATCTCAGTGATCTCTTTTGCTCTTCTTCAAGCTTCCTTCTCATTCAATGTTTTAAGATGGATTTACTAGAAGATTCATATTAGTGCAGACATTAAGTACATCATTTCCTTTGCCCTGCCACACTATCAGTGGCACTGGAAGCATGCTCTCTGATTTTCATTTGACTATGAATTGTGTGAATTATTTTGATAAGGAGACCCTTTGATATATAAGATTTCTATCATTTGCTGCTTTTTAGAAGCCATTGATCTCTCTGTGGTTCTCTATTTTTCGCGAATGCTTTCATCATGTTCCTCATTCCCAACCTAAAACTTTATTTCATTCATAGTGAAAATAATAATGAAAACGTATTTATCTATAAATAGTAGTCTTCACTTATAAAACTTATCCAGCTAGTACGATGGGTGAATTACCAATCATTTATCATAGGTCCATTTTCTTGAATATAACTTCTTTTAAAGACAAATTGTGAAGCATAGCTTCCTAGCATTTCATTAAAAAGAAATTAACGAAACAGTCTAATGAATGGAGGGATAAAAATATATATGAGAACTCATATATATTTGAAGGATAAAGGTTGGATTTTTATGAGATTTTCTAATATTTGTGCTTATAAGTTTATAACCATGTATTGTTGCTGATAAGATAGTTTGAATGATAAAGTTGTGATCCTGATCCTTAACTTTACTCTTCATCCCTAGTTGTTCTTATAACCATGTATTGTTGCTTATCATAATTTTTTTGGGAGGTTAATTGCAGGAACATCTATTGACGGATTGCTTACTTGCTAATGTTGGTAGCCCTTGATCTCGGCTCGTTGTAGTCTTGCAGACATGGTTTATTATTAGCAGCCCTTTCATGTTAGCTGATGCATTTTGTTGTCATTTTGTTTTTTTTTTTTTGTTTGTTAGCTGATGAGTTTCTAGTTGTTGTCTTGGGATAAAATGTTTTATTGTTAGCAGCCCTTGATCTCGGCTCGTTGCTGTCTTGGGATAAAATGTTCCTATGCGTTTCTAGTACGGCTTATTTCATGACGTTGTATGAACAAATGCAACCTAGCTTTGTGATTGCTTACAAAAAATCAATGTTGACAACTTGCTTTAGTGTTTATTTGCTTGGATGCCTGGATATAAACTCTTGGGACAAGTAATATTTGTGCATTTGATTGTTATACTTGATGAAGTTAGAACCGAACAAACCGAACCGAACCGCACCGAAGCGACTTGCAACGGTTCGATTCGGTTTTGAATTGTAGGCGGTTAGGTTCGGTTGTTTAAATTTTGATAAAAACCAACCCGAACCGAACCGTGCACACCCCTCGTTGAGGGTGTGCCTCTAATGGGACTCTATTTACGGGAAAATTTGCAAAATAGACCGTTTTTGGAAAATAATTAGCGAAATAGACAGCATTTTGGAGTAATTAGCAAAATAGACCGTTTTTTAGCAAAAGAGGTCGATTTTGAAAAAGGGTTCAGAAAACATACGGGACTACTAGTCCCGTATGTTTAATTTCATGATTAGTGCACTCAGAAAATATACGGGACTACTAGTCCCGTATATTTTCTGTTTGCTAACAAAACTGCCAAGCAAATCCACGGGACTACTAGTCCCGTGGATTTTGCTAACAAAATAGAATTTAATCGGAGAGTCCCAGTCCCCTCTCTGCACTTCTCCGATCCCTACGAACCCTCAAAATCTTTCACACAATCATTCAAACCTCACAGAAATGGCGTCCACGAGCTTGGGCATTCGAGCCCTCTGCCCTCAAATCCCCATTTCCATCCTTTCATCATCATCTTCTTCATCCCTCTCTCAAAGGAGAGCCCCAACGAGCTACACTGTTCTCCGAGCAAAGGCCGCGGCGGCGGCTCCTCCGACGTCACCGCTAGACCCTAAAGACCCGTTCTTGTCGAAGCTCGCCTCCATTGCAGCCGCCAATCCCGACCTCGTCACCATGCCGCCGTCATCGAATTCGGAGATTCCCCCTTTTCTTGAGCTCTTTGATAGCCCCAAGCTCATGGCCGTGCCTGCCCAGGTGAGTGAATTTTGGGGAGAATGAAAAAGATGTTGCTACTAAAATTTCAAGGATGATTTCTGCATGTTATGGAGAATTCACCCCTAAATTTTCGAGGATGTTTGTCTTAATAAATCTACAATTGACTCCTCATCGTTTACTTATTGTGGAACTAAATGAATATAGCAAAAGAGATCGGAGAAGTGTAGTTTTGTTAGCAAACAGAAAATATACGGGACTAGTAGTCCCGTATATTTTCTGAGTGCACTAATCATGAAATTAAACATACGGGACTAGTAGTCCCGTATGTTTTCTGAACCTTTTTCAAAATCGACTTCTTTTGCTAAAAAACGGTCTATTTTGCTAATTACTCCAAAATACGGTCTATTTCGCTAATTATTTTCCAAAAACGGTCTATTTTGCAAATTTTCCCTTTACTTTATTCTAACCCAACGCCCCCAAAACGTAGGCTGACTTGAAATCACATTTGAACGAACGAACGTGGCACATTCCTGTAGGCACAAAATCTCTGCGTTTGAAACGTGAAACGATCAAATAAATTATAACTGTAGATCTGAGTGATGCGCGTTCTCATTACACCGAGAATCTTCTAGATACGGCAACCAAACGGCGACTCCGCGATTATTTAAACCGAACATTCCACAACTTTCGCCTCGCACTTTACATCGTCGAAACGCGATCGAGGCGAATTTTTACGAATTTTATTCCGTACTCGTTTCTTTCAGGTAATCAATCAATTAGTTTCCCCAATTTCACGTTCTTTTGCTTTGATCTTGATTTGTTTCTTCAATGTGCACTCGATCTGATCGGTAAAAAGCGGGATCGGGTTTCTTGATCGTGCAATTTGGGCGTTTAGGGTTCATTTTCTTCTTCGACGATTTTCTTTGAGCTAATTTGCTTTAAGAATTAATATTTTTTTGAAGAAAAAGTTGAGTTTTTTTCTTTCTTTGCAGTGTTTTAGAGTTCGTCCATTTGACTTTTGGAGGAGGAGGCTTGCATCGGTTGCAGATATGGGAGAGGTGAGAGATATGGGAGAGGTAAGAGGAATAATGTTTGAATTTTTTTTATTAAGGAAAATGCTTCTTTTTTATGCAATAGACTTATTATTTGCGGACAGTATTTACGGTCACGAGATTGATTGTAATATAAAGATTGAATAGGCATAAGCTATTTTCTTAATTGAGGTCAATGAAATAGATAGTTGTCTAATTGGACAAATTTATCAACATTTTTGGGTGCTATTCAACTTTAAATTCCTCAAAGTTCCTTGCTTTTGGGAGAGATGCTTTGTTGATGAACTGATATTTATAAAGACGGCGATAATCATCCTAAGAACGCAAGATTAATTGCCGAGTCCTTGTAATATTGCTTTGATTTTTGTTTGGTAACTCTTGATACTTGGATCTTGGGTTGCTCTTATGAAATTTTTGTCATTGTCATTTGAGAAGCTTGGATTTCGGTTGTCCAGAGATTCTTGTCATTTGATTTCTTTCAATAGTTGGATGGTTTCATGTCAGTTATGTCACTTTAAGATGTGAAAGATTAATGCAATGTGGGATTTGTGTGGTAATGAATGATAATAGCTGCATGACAAGCATTTGAACAAGATATTTTCCGGAACTATAGCTGTGATTTAATATATTCGATGCAAATTGAAATAGGATGTACTGTGATCCTGTCTAACATCCTATGCTAGTAACGGTAGTATTACAAGAAAGTGTTGAAAAGTTTTGAGTGATGGCATAGAAAAATGTTGAGGCACACTACTGAGTACTGTTAATTAGATTTCATATATCAATTAAATTGCTATGATTTGTTAGTACCTGCTACATGACCTGGAAGGATGCATGATAATTGATAGGCACTAGGGAGAGTAAGCATGCATTCTATGAAAACAGACTCTGCTTGTTAGAATAAAGCATGTTACCGAGTTACTATATTTTTCCGTTGTTTGTCTACTTCAAGTACTTCTTTATGTTACTTGAGTATGATCTGTGTCATTTGCAAGTATTGGCACCAATTGACCGATCTTGTACAGGATGGCCATAGGGTGACCTTGAATATGTATGACCTCAGCCAAGGACTTGCACGCCAATTTTCAACTTCGCTTTTGGGGAAGGCTATTGAAGCTATATGGTAAGTGTTCAATATCATGGCATTCGTGTTTCATGAGATAAACCTTTTCTGCTGGTGATTAAGCTCTCATTATTAATAATGAAGCTGAAGACTTGTTTCTCAACATAATGTCTAAATAGATCACCTTCATTTCGTTGTCCTTGTCAAGGTTTTTGTAACCCTAAGGGGGGAAACTTGGTGTTACTCAAAACAAATTTTAGCCAAGGATGTCCTGCCATATCTCTCTTGTTCTTGATGAGGGAGCCAACAATTGCGTAGCCTTCAGGGCATAATACAACCAATAATTTGTGTGAAATCATTCTCCTCTTGGAGGACTTTAGTGATTATCTGCTATTAGAGCTGCTCATTTATGTTTGGTTGGTAGATTTCAAGTGTTTCATGGTTAAGCAATTCACTGTTAGTATATTGTAGCTACATTTTCTTTTACCACTTAAGCTACTAACATTAACATTTTGTATGCAGGAGTAGAGGCTTCATATCATGCAAAATTTCAGTGATATGTTTTTTTTGGATTGGTTATCATAGTTTTTTTTGTTTTGACTCTATTTATTGACAGGCATACAGGTGTTGTAGTTTATGGAAATGAGTATTATTTCGGGGGAGGAATACAGCATAATCCAGCAGGAAGAACTCCCTATGGTACACCTATGCGAGTGATCGATCTTGGGGTGACCCATGTACCTAAGGAAGTCTTTGAGGAGTATTTGCAAGAGATCAGCTCTCGATATACTGCAGAAACCTACAAACTTCTCAGCCACAACTGCAATAATTTCAGTAACGAGGTTGCACATTTTTTGGTTGGAACCTCCATTCCTGAGTATATCCTTCAGCTACCCAACGAGGTCCTCAACAGCCCAATGGGGGCTTTAATTTGTAAGAAACCTAACTTCATTTTAGTTCTTATTGGGGAGAATTGGATATGAAATGACAACTCATTTGTTAAATGAGCTATCAAGAGGACTGTGGAACAGTGGTGAGATTCATTGTGCTTGTTACCTCGTTAGCAGGTGGATCTCATCAATTCATCTAATTGACAGCTCAGTTTGTTAAATGAACTGTCAGTTCATACCCATTAGTCCATTACATTGTTATTATTTATTTTAGGGTTAATTGAAGATACTATCCCTTTACTGTAGGTATAACCACTTGTTTTTCTTCCCCCATGAGGTTTATGTTTCCCATTTGGTTGAGTTGTCATGTGTGAAAATCGCAGTGATGAAATTATCTTTTGGCATTAGTTTAACTGGAAAAAGACCAAATTGTCATTAAGTTGAGGGGAGAAAAAAAGTAATGAAGCTGTTATTGTCTTTTAAGTTGAGGTCAAAAAGAAGTAATGAAGTCGAAAGTTTTAAGTGTCTAAGTGTGCTACATCACCATGGTCTTTATGGTGTATCTACAAGTCGAGATAGTATCTAGTGAGTATGGTTCATGATATTAAATATGCACCAAAAGGATATAAATCCTTACATCGGTGCACTAATCACAAAGTCAAATCACTCGGTCAAATGATTTAAGGTCTATTGGATACTTTCTCGTGCAAGTAATGATTATATTATCCTAACTTTGATCAAACTCTTGAGTTGTATCGTTCATTCTTGGGCTTATGCAGTGCCAATGATTCAGAGTTTGGAGGCAACTGTAAGAACAGGTGCTGTGCCTCAAGCACCTCAGTTCGTCAACCCTCTTGCGGCAGCTACACAGCCATCACATCCTAGGTCTTCTTTCGCAAGCCTCCGCTCAGCCTCTACAGATCAGGCTAAAGCCCAAGCACCACAGCCAGGCCCAGATACAGCAACAAATCCCATTGCTGGTAGAGAGAAGGAAGCTGTTGTTGATCCGATGGGAGATGCTCGGAGCATAGTGCAGGAAGAGATCACCAAAGAGTTTGCAGCGATCATGGCGAGTGGAACTCTGAGAGCTAGTGAGGCAGCTGCTCTTGCTACAAGAAGAGTGATGGAGAAGCATGGAAGGTTGAATTCTTCCATGAACTAGGGGTTGAGGATATCGTAACACATTCATTGGAAAGGCATTCATCATTGATATCTGTGGAATTTGTCGAATATACTTGTGATTTTATCGACCTTATTGCTACAATTTGGGATGCTCTGGATTTAGTGTATTGACTTAGCTGATTACAGATGATTTATGGATGTTGTGCTCCCTTCTTTATTTATCTCATGTGATGGGAACCTGGTGTTATTTAGTTAGAAATTACACCCTAAAAAACCCATGATTATACTTTGTCATTGAGATTGTGATTGCCTGACCTCTGGTGGTCCTATGGTACGTTAAAGGCTGTGTTTGGTTTGATGGAAAGGGAGAGAAAAGAAAAAGAAAGAGAAAGTAAAAAGAAAGGAAAAGAAAAAGAAAAGAAAATGATGTTCTTTTTATTGTTTGGTTAGAAAGAATATTGCAAGGAAAGTTAGAAGAAAATTCATAAGAAAGTTATTTTCTCTTGTTTGGTTACCTTTCTGAGAAAATAGGAAGAAAATTATCACAACATAATTTTAATTCATACTTTTTGGAATTAGATTCATATTGTTTGATTCAGATGTTGAGTGGCCATCAACATCGAGTTTGTAAATATTAACAAGCAGAAGCACAACCATAATTCTACTAATTAAAGAACAACATTTCTCACACATAATATTTGCAGAAAGAAAGGTCAATGAAAGAACCCAAACAAATCTAAAGTAAATGTCATGATATTCCTAATGTAAAGTATAATCCATTTCTAGTCACAAAGTCTATTACAATCAATTTCATATAAAAAATCTTAACCAACAAAATCTATTACAATCAATTTCATATATAGAGAATATTAACTAAAGAGAGAGAGAAATATGTCGAAGTCCTTGGTTTTTGACTTTAGTGAGTCCATCAAAACATCAATCTCGCATCCTTCATCCCCTGAAATTAATTCAAAAAAATTCAAATAAGTAGAATATAAAGGTCCAATATAGTTATAACTTAGAATTTGCTACAAATTATATCTAACACTGTAAAAAGTAAAACATAAACGAAGATGCGAGCTCCAATATAGTTATAACTTAGAAGTAAATCAACATAACTCTCTATCACAATGAAGAAAGATTCCTACACTTCCGCCTATAAACCAACATAAGCTCCAATATAGTTATAACTTAGAAGTAAACCAAAATATTGACTGCCATTGTACAAACACCTCATCAATATCCTCTTAATTCCCAAACAAAATATTCACACTGAAGAAACTCTCCTCTTATTAACACAAAAATTCCCTCAATCCCCCAGATGAGCACCTTACAAACAAAGCTCTGATCCATATGACCTTGCAAATTAAACCTAGAACTGTGAACTCATAGCGAGCTGCAGACAAGACTTGAGTCTGTCAGAGGCCACTATGGTACTATCCCCAATGAAAAGAAAATTTCGGCGGAGATGATGTAGTATGAATGTGGACAAATGAAGTTCAAATACATATCCGAATAAGTGAGACGAGTGCTAATACATATAGATTGTTGCTTTTGTAGTATAACAACATGGCGGAAACTACTTGGATCTTTTTACCTTATAAGGAACTACAGTTAAATGTCAACTCATTTATCTTTCAAGTGGTTATGTTAAATATTATCTGCTTCCTATCCATCTAAATCCCAAATCATTTTACCAACAAATAACAAGGGAGTCCAGCTCAAAGACCCCAATAACTAGCAAGACATTATGAATATTAGAATACAGGTCAAAACTTGGAACTTGGATCAGTGAGAAATTAAAGATGGTTGATTATAAAGGGAGAAGATTGAATTGAGAGAGAAGTAGACTCTTTGCGATATGGATCCCAATATAAGCTGACATATTAAATATAAACATCTTATTTCTGCCAGCAAAAAGGGAACAAAGAAAAACATGGAAGTGTATGTACAGTGTTATTGTAGCCATTTCTCTAGTAGCAGAATGGCTTGTCATTAATGATTATTGGCAAGCGGCGGATGGAATTCTAACCGTGATTTTAACATTCATTTTCTTTTTAATTTTCTTTCAAACCAAATCAGGTAAAGATACTTTCTATTGCACTTTCTTTTCCTTTTCTTCATTTTCCTCCAAACCAAACAGAGCCTAAAGGGAGGGAGGTCTTTGACAATCGTTGTAGGAATAGAAAAAAGAGGAACGCTAGAAAGCGAAAGGAGCTACTGGGTACTGAGAGGGAAGGATGGAATGCGCTATGACCGGCTCGTCGGAAAAAGTTTACTGACACGGTTAATAATTGCAAGCTCATATACATGGGCTTTACAGGCACTCAATTCACTTGGGTAGGCTCGGACAGAAATGGGATAAGGAAAAATCTTTTTTTATAGGAAGAAACGGCTACTTGTGAGATGGAAAGCCAACAAGTCTCTGTTCAGTCGCTTATAAGTTGATTACTAAGGTTTTGGTGGGGAGTCGACTCAATGCAGCTTTATACGCGGTAGGCAAGCGGCGGATGGCATTCTAACCGCGCAAGGGATCATTCGCTCTATGCGTAAAAATGGAAAGGAAGAGGGCGGCGACGGCCTTAGGGGCTGTTTGGTTGTATGTTTTTATCATGTAAAAGGATAGAAAGTGTAAAAAAGTGGGTCTCAATGTCAGCTTTCATCACTTTACATTGTTTGTTTAAATTCTCTTTGACATGAAAAGCTTACACCTTTTGATGAGGTGTCACCGAAAGCAAAATCATCAAAATTAGGAGTGATTTTGTTGAAAAGCTTACACAATGTCATAAATGTGTCCAAAAAAATAATAAAAAAATCAAAACCTTGTAGAAAGTGGTGGGGTGGATAACCACTTTTCATTTTGTGTCATAAATACTCTAGTTTACATTATACTATCCAAACAATGTAATACTATTATTTTAGGATTCATAAAGATTCCTAACCAAACAATGTAAACACTCGAATGGAAAGTGGTGAGGTGGATAACCACTTTCTATTTTGTGTCATAAATACTCTAGTTTCCTAAAGGCATCCAAACAGCCCTTTAAAACTTGACCTGGAAAAGACATATATGACAGAGTGCGTTGGGGATTTTTTTTTAGAGGAAACTTCGGTTATGTTTGGATTCCCGGATCAGCGGGTGAAGCTCGTTATGCTCTGTGTTTCCTCAGTTAGTACCCCGATCCTTTGGAACGGTGAGACCACAGAGCCCTTCAGTCCTCAGAGGTGCCTTCGTCAGGGCGATCCAATTCTCCCTATTTGTTCGTTTTGTTTAGGGAATGCTTGGGCCGGATGGATTTCAGAAAAGGTTCAGGACAAATCTTGGCAGGCAGTCAGAGTTTGTAGAGGCGGGATAGCCATTTCTCACCTGTTTCTTTGTGGTTCTCACCTGTTTCTTTGTGGACGATTTGTTCCTTGTATCTCAGTCTAGTCATGGTCAGGCGATTGATTGCCTGCAGGGAAGAAGAGAAAGAACAAGGGATTTCGTTTGAGGGGGCTCCGGTAACAGATAAGGGGTTTGAATTTGATTATGTATTGTTGTATTTTCTCAAGAAGAACGCTCCGCCTTTTATAGGGGCCGAGCTCATCATCTCCATCCCCTCATAACCGCCTTTGAGAGATTTTCTTTCAACAAACCTAATTCCCACGTTTTCACGTTTTTCATAATTTTTTCATGTTTCTCTCAATCGAGAAACGTTGATTTGGTCACACAAGACCGAGTCAAGGTAACATCTCCCACTTGACCAAATCAACCAAGTGATATGTCTATCACTATCCGTGAGATCAAATGTTTCTTCTTACCATTACTCTCATTATTCATAGAGAATAACTCTTATTTCATTATTCATGAAATTTTACTTGGACTTATTTATTCCCAAGTCCTATAAAACTTACATGTTTGATAAAAGATTTTGCTGGTATTTCTTTTGTCAAAGGATTAGCAATCATATCTGTAGTAGGGATATAAGTCATGTTGACTTCTCTCTTTTCTACAATATCTCAAATATAGTGATTCTGGATCTCAATATGTTTTTCTTTGGAGCTATTCGCGCCGCTATTGATTAAGCTAATTGATGTTTGATTATCACAATAAATATCAATATGTCCTTCTAACAAATTGAGATCTAGATCAATTAAAAACCGTCTTATCCAAACAACATGTGTAGTTGCTATACTGCAAGCTATATATTTAGCTTCTTGTGTATATCTAGCAACACGCCCTTATTTCTTGCTACTCTAAGAAATAATCCTCCTCCAAAGATGAATAAGTATCCCGAAGTGGACTTTTCATCATCGTTATCATCTCCGAAAGCAGCATCGGAATAACTGAGGAGATCAAGCGAATTGGCTTGATAAACTAATCTATGAGTCAATGTATTTTTGATATACTTCATAATCCTTTTAACAGCTTCCTAATATGATGGTCCATTACTTTGATATCGACTGATTAGACTTACAGCATAAGCTATATTAGATCTGGTGCACAATATTGCATACATCAAGCTTCCAATTGCTTGTGTTAGGGATTTTCAAACCCTGTTGCGATTTGAAAATAGAGATGAGAGAAGGAAGAGAGAAAAAACAAATCATAGAACACACAGAATTTACGTGATTCACTTCTCGATGAGAGAAGCTACGTCTATGGCCGCCGTAGGTAAAATTGTACTATGTTCTGAATAGTTTACAAGCTGCGTTCTGATCATCCTTTTATAGCTAGGGTATTAGTTGGGGTTCTGGCGATTCGATCACTTAAGCGAATTGGGCCGGGTCTGAAAATTAGGCTCCACATAACCTAACAGCTTGAGCTAAGAAACATCTAATGGCTTTTGCCCCTCTCCAGGGCTTTGCTCTTTACATAATCTCTTTTCCATGACCAACGGAGTTGGCGCCGGATTGAAATTCTTTATTCCAAACCTTTTAAGAACTGATCTTAAATATTTTTCTTGGTTTAAACTTAGCATTCAAGACTTTCTATCTCGAATTATTTGAATTTTAAGAATATATGATGCATCTCCCATGTCTTTCATCTCAAACTTTTCGTTGAGATCTACTTTGATTTTATTCAATATTTCTATGTCATTCCCAGCAAGCAATATATCATCTATATATAAGGATAATATAGTAAATTTTCTCCCACTTTTTAAGACATATACACAATTATCTAATTTATTTTGAATAAAACTAAGTCTAGTGACTGCATCATGAAATTTGAGATACCATT